AGGAGGAGAAGGGGAGGAGGAGGAGGAATGTAGGTGCTGAGCGGGCATGGCAACACAAGCCTGTGATACTAACACTTGAGAGCCAGGGAGATAACTCAGTAGCATAGTGTCTGCTGGCAAGCACAAGTTCTTGAGTTCAATTGACAGTCAAAAAAGTACTAGCGCTTGAGAGGCTGAGGCAAGAGGCAAATCACTGCAAACTTGAGGCCAGCCTGGGTACACAGTGAGTTCAAGGCCAATCCAAACTACACAGAAATAGCATGTCTCAATAAATAAATAAATAAATAAATAAATACGGTTCGGGAAATAGCTTAACTGACTAAGTGCCTCCCTAGCAAGCACAAGGACCCGGGTTCAATCACCAGTACTGCATGTCAGCCTCCAGAACCCTGGGTGTGCCTGTAATCCCAGGGCTGGGCAGGCTGAGACAGGAAACCACTATGAGTCCAAGCTGCAAAGCGTCCAAGCTGCGTAGCAAGAACCCTGTACCAAATAAATAAATAAATGATTTTAAAATTGTTACATAAATAAATGTTACCATTGTGTTTTTTTATTTTATTTTTTAAATTTAGTACAGGGTCTCACTACAAAGAGCTGGAATTACAGCCCTGCACCACCATGACCAGTCTCATGTGCTGTCTCATTGCACTCTGAGGGGCAGGGCTGGCATGGTAGGCTGGGGATTGAATGCCCTGGTCCCTGCATCTGCCTAAGCAGGTGCTTTAATCCAAATTTATTTATATTTTTATTAGCACCTTCCCTCCAGGAACTAGGTCTCACTATATGCCTCACATTGGTCTTCTACTTAGGAACTTATATGACCCTTATGCCACATCCTAGGACTACATGGGTGAGCCCTCACACCTGGTTTAGCAGTCTTAAGTCCAACGCCTTAACCACTTGGCCATCCGGGTAACGGGTTTAGCAGTCATAATTCACCTCACATTTGCTATTTTAAAAAAAGCCCTAATAATATGCATATAATAAATATAAACAATTGAAAGTGAGAAAACCAGCCTAAATGATGACTTAATTTGTGTATCGAGCCAGGGATATAGCTCAGCGGCACAATGCCTGCCTGGCAAGTGCAAAGTCCTGAGTTCAATTCCTGGTACCAAAAAAAGAATTTGTGCATTATATTGGACCTAAAGACACAGTAGTTAAATGGGTAAGAAATAACCTAGCATGCAGGAGCCCCTGATTTAATACACAGCCAAAAAAGGAATTTATAGTTTTGGGGTTTTTTTGTTTTTTGTTTTTTGTTTTGAGGCAAGTTACAGACTCTCACTTTACAGTTCAGGTTGGTCTTGAACTCACTTTGTATGCCATACTAGCCTCAAATTCACAGCGATCCTCCTGCCTCAGTCTCCTGAGTGATGTGATCAAAGGTGTGTACTGCCATGCATGCTTCAAATTCAGGTATTTTTATTTTTATTTTGTGGTATGGGGGATTGAAGGCCTCCACATGCTAAGCATGCTCTATATTACTGAGTTACACCATCAGACCTTTAAAAATTTTTCTTTAGAGAGGCTGCGGAGACAGCTCCACAGCCTACGCGCCTGACTTGTGAGCACAAGAACCCGAATTTGATGCCTAGTACCGCATGCTGTGCTGGCCCTGGAACCCCAGATGTGCCATGTTGACCACTGAAACCAGGTGTGGTGGTGCACTCCTGTAATCCCAGCACTGGGGAGGCTAAGATAGGAGGATCACTACGAGTCTGAGCTGAGTAGCAAGACCCTATACCAAATAGATTTTTTTAGAAAAGATTTTTTAAAAATTCTTTAGACGTTCTTCCTGTGAGCGGTCTTAGGTGACCTTTAAAAATGGTTCACTAGGGGCTGGAGAGATGGCTCAGTGGTCTAAAGCACCTACTTAGAACAAGCTTAGCAAAGCGTCGGGGACCGCGGTTCAATCCCCCAGCACCACATGCCAGCCAGCCTCGCCCCCTGGTGGGCTGAGCTGGCCACACACACACACCACACACTCTCTCTCTCTCAAATAAATAAAAATTTAAAAAAAAAAATGGTTCACTACTCTCTCGACCCTGAAAACCCCACAAAATCATGTAAATCAAGAGGCTCAAATCTTCGCATTTACTTTAAGAACACGCATGAAACTGCCCAGGCCATCAAGGGTATGCATATCCAAAAGGTCACCAAGTATCTCAAGGATGTCATATTATTTTTTATACTTTTTTTTTAATTATTTATTTATTTTTTTATTTATTACATTTATTTATTGTATGTGTGTGTGGCCAGCTCAGCCCACCAGGGGGCGGGGCTGGCTGGCATGTGGTGCTGGGGGATCGAACCACGGTCCCTGTGCTTTGCCAAGCTTGTTTCAAGTAGGTGCTTTAGACCACTGAGCCATCTCTCCAGCCCTAAGGATGTCATATTAAAGCAGCAGTGTGTACCATTCCAGCATTACAATGGTGGCGTTGGAAGGCACACCCAGGCCAAACAGCGGGGCTGGACACAGGGTCGGTGGCCCAAAAAGAATGCTGAATTTTTGCTGCACATGCTTAAAAATGCAGAGAGTAATGCTGAACTTAAGGGTTTAGATGTAGATTCTCTGGTTATTGAACATATCCAGGTGAATAAAGCACCCAAGATGCACCGCCATACTTACAGAGCTCATGGCCGGATTAATCCATCCATGAGCTCCCCCTGCCATATTGAGATGATCCTTACTGAAAAGGAACAAATTATTCCCAAACCAGAGGAGGAAGCTGCACAGAAGAAAAAGATATCCCAGAAGAAACTGAAACAAAAACTTATGGCACAGGAATAAATTAAGCATAAAATAAATGCAAATAAAATTTTAAAAAATTCTTTAGAGATAGGGCCTCACTAAATCGTATAAATTGGATTTATGATTCTTCTGCCTCAGCTTTAGTATCTGGAATCACAGATATGCACTACTATGAATAGACTGTGTTATTTTTAAAAAAATTTTTTTTAATTAAAAAGCTCGAACTAGGGGCTGAGGAGATGGCTCAGTGGAATAAGTGCTTCCCTGGCAAGCACAAGGGCCTGAGTTCAATCCCCAGCTCCACCAAAAAAAAAAAAAAAAGCTCGAACTTGTAGTGATCCTCCTGTCTCAGTCTCCCCAGTGCTGGGGTTACAGGCATTCGCCACCACGCCTGGCTTCAGGGGCCAGCACGGCATGTGGTACCAGGGATCGGAACCTAGGTCCTTACACTTACCAAGCAGGTACTTAGACTGCTAAGCTATCTCTCTAGCCAAAAAAAAAAATCAAATGTATTTTCACTAATCTGCTGAACTTCCCAGGCTAGGATGAATCTAAGAATCCCTTGGTTCAGCCTCCTAAATAATAGGATTAGAGGCATGCACCACGACAGCAGGCTAATGCATTATATTTTTCATCCCACAGTAAATAATATTATCTAATATCCTAAACCTGACCTTTTTTTTTTTTTTTTTTTTTCAGAACCAGGGATTGAACTCAGGCCCTTGCACTTGCCAGGGAAGCGATTATTCCATGAGCCATCTCCCCGGCCCAACCTGATAATTTAAAAGGATAACAAATTAGAGGACAAAATTTTAGACAGAATCAGTACTATTTATTTTACTCCCCTTGCCGGGGAGATGGCTCAATGGAATAAGCACTTCCCTGGCATGTGCAAGGGCCTGAGTTCAATCCCCAGTTCTGCCAAAAAAAAGAAAAAAGAAAATCTACCTATTTCAATTTTCTTTTTAAAAAAAATTTTTTTTTAATGTTTTATTTTTTTATTTGGTACAGGGTCTTGCTACTTAGCTCAGACTCATAGTGACCCTCATGTCTCAACCTCCCCAGAGCTGGGATTACAGACATGCACCACCATGCCTGGTTTTGGTGACAACATGGCATGCCACAATGACCCTTTCTCCAGTCACTTTTTTTGTCTTTTCGAGACAGGATCTCACTACAGAGCTTAGGCTAGTCTTAAGCTCATTTTGTAACCCAGGCTGGTCTCAAACTCACAATGATCTTCTGATCTTCTACCTCAGCCTCCCAAGTGCTGGGATTACAGGCATGCACCACTACAACTGGGGGACTCAAACTTGATTTATGGGGGCCAGGGAGATGGCTCAGTGGAATAAGTACTTCCCTGGCAAGTGCAAGGGCCTGAGTTCAATCCCCCGTTCTGCAAAAAAAAAACCAAAACAAACAAACAAAAAAACTTGATCTAACTACTTCAGCCTCCCAATTGCTGGACTATAGGCTTGTAACAGAGTACTCATCTTAGTTTTTTAGGAACTTTTCTTTTTTGCAGCACTGAGAATTAAACCTAATGGCCTTCACACTTAGTTACATCTCCAACTCTTTTTTTTTTTTTTAATTTAAAATATTATTTTGAGACAAGATCTCAAACTTGCAATTGTCCTGTATCAGTCTCCCAAAGAGCTGGGACTATAGACATATGTCCCCATATCTGGCCCTTTTAGTTCTTCTAATAATGTGTGTTACCACACTTAATGCTTTTTTGTTAACGTGACTTGTGGTAGATTAAAATAAAATAAGGCTGGCAAAATTTTGGCCTGAGAATTTAAAAAAACTAGAGGATTTCTTAGAGAAAAGGTAGTTTTCAGAATGACTGATTTTTTTTTTTTTTTTGACTGGCTCAGGATGCCTTCAGGGCAGGTCTGGCCAGGCTTGAGGATACAGGTCTTGAACCACAGCATACCAAGCCTGCTTTGTTGAAGCAGTCACTTAAACTACTGAGCTAATGGGCAGGCCCCATAGTTTTCAAATAGTATCAATTCTGGGCTGGAGAGATAGCTCAGCAGTCAAAGTGCCTGCCTGGCAGGCGCAAGGACCTGGGTTGTATCCCCAGTTCCACATGCCATGCCAGCAACTAAAACCAGGTGTGGTGGTGCACACCTGTAATCCCAGATCTGGGGATTACTACGCATCTGAACTGCACAGAGAGATTCTGTATCAAAAAACAAACAAACAAACAAAAAAGATTGAGTCCATCTTGAGCAATTTAAGAAACCCTATCTCAAAAAAAAAAAAAAAAAAAAA